CGTCCCAGCTGAAGCCAGCCTAGAGGCCATCAACAAATTACCTGCGGCAAAGCCCATCCCCGTTAGTGAGCTCTACGCGGGTCAGGATATCCAGCACATTACCGGCCCAGATCTTTTCGCAAAAATCGTGCCCTTTGCGGTGACAGAGTCGGCAAGTTTGTACGATGAAGAAAAAGCCAAGCTTGTCAGAGCAGAGACAGAGAAGGTTGACACCGCAAATGGCGAGATGGCTGCAAGTCTGGATTACTTGAGGCTTCCAGGTGCTCTTCAAGTTCTCAAAGGCGGATTTGATCAGGATGTTTTGCCTGATGAAGACTTCCGCCAGTGGTGCCATGATGTGGCAAATCACGAAAATCCAGCTGGGATATTTGAGCACCTGAGGTCAGAAAAGGAGTCGATAATTCGAGTTCTGGATGGGTGCTCAAAGCAGTTGGACATGGAAGAGATAGTCTGCGAGAAGATGCGCTCGAAACACGAGAGCCAATGGACCCAGCAACCCAGCTCACCCCTCACAACTACTCTACGCGGAGATATACGAAGCTATCGAGAGGCGCTTGATGAGGCGATGAAGAGTGACCATCAGCTTTCCACGAAGCTTCGCCAGAACGAGGTGGAATTCGCAGAGATGCGGCGTGCTGCTCAGGAGGATGCTGTTGATCAATTGTTCCACAGGGCTGTAACCGATGTTCGAGACAAGAGTGGCTACTCTGTCAGCCCAGCTGCCATTGAAGCCAACCTTCTGGACGCTGATTTTGAAGAAGGCGGCTTGAGCGTGATGGACCAGATAAACAGAGTAGAGGATATCCTCAAAAAGTTAAATCTTGTTAAGCGCGAGCGAAACCAGGTCCTAAAAGACCTAAAAGAGAAGGTTGGTTAATCCAAGCGGTGCAACCCATGTCTGCCTAACTAACAGTTCTTTTCCCCAGGTCCATAACGATGACATCTCGCAAATTCTGATCCTGAACAAGAAGTCAATATCCAACTACGAAAACCAACTCTTCCAGCAGGAGCTGGAAAAGTTCCGACCTCACCAAAACAGGCTGTTGCAGGCGAATCACAAGCAGTCCGCTCTGATGAAGGAACTTACAGGAACGTTTAATACACTATTGCAAGACAAGCGGGTGAGATCGGAGCAGAGCAAGTACGAAACGATTCAAAAACAGAGATCGGCCGTGATTGGCAGATACAACCGAGCCTATCAAGAGTTCCTTGACCTCGCGGCCGGACTCGCCAGTGCGAAGAAGTGGTATGCTGAGATGAAGGAGACAGTAGAGAGCCTAGAAAAGAATGTTGAAGCATTCGTCAACAACCGACGAGGCGAGGGTGCCCAGTTGTTGAACAAGATCGAGGCGGCACAATCCTCCAGCAGATCTTCTCAGGCCGAGCTGGAGCAAGAACGTCTGCGAGCTCTCATGGACCGAATGTCGATGGAGAGCCCAAAGTCACCGCCACAGCCAACCACAAGTGGACGGCCAGCGCCAACACCGCTATTCCAGGCTGGACAGGCACCCCGATACGGGCAAGGAAGTTACCAGGGACAATATCAAGTCCCAACCTCCCCACCTCCTAACCAACCCAACATGGTGCAGCCAGGATACCAGACTTATGGAAACCCAGCACCAGCGCAGACATATGGGCAGCCACAAGTCAACACATATGGACAAGCCGCGTACAACCCAAGCCAGTATGGGCGGAACCCTGGTCCAACGTCACCTCCGCCAAACCAGTCCACTTTCAGCGTAAATGCAATGAGAGGCCCGGTGTCTCCTCCACCAAATCGATCCTCGTTTGGATCGCAGATCCAAGGCTACCAAGGCTATGTCACTCAGGGGCAACAGCCGCAGCCAACAGCCCAACAAGGTCAAGGTGGTTACATGCCGCCTGGCTTTGTCCCCCCTCCACCTCCTCCCGGTCCTCCACCTCTGGGGCCCCAGCAGACAATCCACTACGGGGGCGGGCAGCAACAGCAGATCCCACAGGGATATGGGGGCCAGCTGCAGAAATCACCACCTGCGCAAGCGCCACAGCCCAATGACCCTTGGGCAGGACTGAGTGCCTGGAAGTAGGTAAGGATAGGAGGCCAAGATGGAGAAGGAAGAAGAATTACTCGTCATACATAGCGTAAAAGAGGAGGGTTTTGCATGGATATGGGCCTGGTCAGGGTATGTTTAGAATGGGGGGTTGTGTCTATTGTTTACCAAGCGGTGCTTTAATCATCATTGACACGGAAATATATGCATGCATTCATTGCACCTGAGTTCACCATGCCAGTAATTGTGTCCATTAGCAGGAGACGGTTGAAAAGCCCATGGAGGGAATCGAATGCGGGTGACAAATAATGTTGCTCTCATTGGGTTTGCCCAACCAACACCAACCGGCGACACAGACACATCAATGAAAGAAAGATACTCGGCTGCCCCCGCGGTGAATTAACCCGACGGCCGAGGCAGAGTGGAGACGGGCTGCCGCTTTGGGGCAGAGGAACGGATACTGAAGGCGGTTATTGAAGGCCGACTCAAGAGGTAAAATAAAGGTGGAGAGAGATAGTGCGCTAGTGCAGTGCCTTAGCCTGTGCCCAGCAGCCTACCAGAGAGCCCCGAATTCGGGGGCAGGTCATCAAAACGCACCGCCGGAGAGCGCTGTGGGGAAAACACTGGACTGTGGAAGCAGATCGGGATTCCCTTTTAAGTCCAGGATCCTGGGACGACGTTTTCCTGTCCGTCTTCTTATTTTTTATTCCCATTCCCATTTCCATCTTGCTCTCGCTCGCCGTGACCTTCTGGCTCTGTCCGCTGACTCCAGAGCCCGAAAACGAGGAACCATCGACGCTGCGCTGCTCGTCAGTTCCCTCCACCGACCGCACTCTTCCTATCTACCTACGTAATCGACGTCCGACTTTCGGGCGAAAGGACCGCAGTTCGCACCATGGCGGCGCTCAAGGGCAGCGAGATCGCCGAGCACAATGACGCCAAGTCGTGTTGGGTTATTGTTCATGTACGATGAGAATCAGCCTATTTATTGTGCAGACACCGACAACGACGGGCAGCAGCTAATTTTGGTGCAATGGACAGGGCAAGGCGTACGATGTGACCGAGTTCCTACCTGGTACGACTAACAACCAAAAACGCCCGCTTTCATCGTTACATTTCGTCGACTAACTTTGCTCTGCTATCCAGAACACCCTGGAGGACAGAAGATCATCCTCAAGTATGCCGTAAGTGCGACTCGAGCTCGGGCATGGACGAGTGCCGTCTATCCAATCGCAGGTTGTTGAGGAGACTAACGAGCTCTCCGACGCACTTCCAGGGCAAGGACTGCACAGAAGAATTCGAGCCAATCCACCCCCCTGATACCCTGGACAAGTTCCTGGACAAGTCCAAGCATCTGGGGCCGGTTGACATGGGCACCGTCGAGCAGGAGGTCAAGGAGGAGGATCCGGAGGAGGCCGAGCGTCTGGAAAGGGTCGCCCAGAAGCCTCTGCTGTCGCAATGCTACAATCTCCACGATTTCGAGGCCGTCGCGAGGAGGACTATGAAGAAGACGGCCTGGGGTTACTACTCTAGCGCAGCTGATGATGAAATCGTGAGTCTCCTGACCGTAACGTCCCACTCGGTTGGATCATGGTATTAATATGGGTTTCAAACTCCAGACGATGAGGGAGAACCACAGCGCTTACCATCGCATATGGTTCCGGCCCCGTGTTCTCGTTGACGTTGAGAATGTCGACATCTCCACCACAATGCTGGGAAGCAAAAGCTCGGTCCCATTCTACGTCACCGCCACTGCCCTGGGCAAGCTTGGTGACCCTGAGGGCGAGGTCGTCCTGACCCGGGCTGCTCACAAGCACGGCGTCATTCAGATGATCCCCACGCTCGCGTCCTGCTCCTTTGACGAGATCTGCGACACCCGTAAGGGTGATCAGGTCCAATGGCTCCAGCTCTACGTCAACAAGGATAGGAAAATCACACAGCGCATCGTCCAGTACGCCGAGGAGCGTGGCTGCAAGGCTCTCTTCATCACCGTCGACGCCCCCCAGCTGGGTCGTCGCGAGAAGGACATGCGCTCGAAATTCACCGACCCGGGCACCAATGTCCAGGAGGGCCAGGAGACCGACAACAGCCAGGGCGCCGCCAGAGCCATCTCCAGCTTCATCGACCCCAGCCTCAGCTGGAAGGACATCCCCTGGTTCCAGAGCATCACCAAGATGCCCATCATCATCAAGGGCGTCCAGCGAGTCGAGGACGTCGTCAAGGCCGTCGAGGCCGGCTGCCAGGGTGTCGTCCTCTCCAACCACGGCGGCCGCCAGCTCGAGTTCGCCCGCTCGGGCATCGAGATCCTCGCCGAGACGATGCCCGTCCTCCGCGAGCTGGGCCTCGAGGACAAGATCGAGATCTACATCGACGGCGGCGTCCGCCGCGCCACCGACGTCCTCAAGGCCATCTGCCTGGGCGCCAAAGGCGTCGGCATCGGCCGGCCGTTCCTCTACGCCATGAGCGCCTACGGCCAGCCCGGCGTCGAGCGCGCCATGCAGCTCCTCAAGGACGAGATGGAGATGAACATGCGCCTGCTGGGGTGCAACAGGATCGAGGAGCTCAACCCGAGCCTGCTGGACACCCGGGCGCTGTTCACGCATACCTCGACGCCCCCGGACCAGTTGTTCGGCAGCGTGTACGAGTCCCTTGCCACGCCCGCGCAGAGACCCAAGTCGAAACTGTAGATAGATATTAGATGGTGTAGATCGTGTGTTTTTTTGCCCACATTACAGTAGATGAGTTGTAAGCTACTTTCTTTCCAGCAGCATATATGACATAGAGTCTTCTTTTTTTCTTTCTTCTGCCTATAACACCTAAAGCAGTCTTCTACACGAGTTCATTATTTGTATATTCCTGGTAACTCTAAAATGACGCTCCTGTGGTCTGCTCAAAAACGCAACCCAATAACACCCATTGTAAATGCTCGCCTGACGAAACTCGAAATGACAAAAATGAGGCAAAACACCTTTACAAACCCCGCATAAACTCATGCAATGACATTGGCTTCCTCACGGCGTTGTTGAGCCCTTCGTGATATGTGACCCAGACGTTCTGCTCCTCCCGCTTGGCCCGCTTCTCCATACTGTCACCAGCCAGCTCTGCCAGCGGCAGTGCCTGGATGATCCGGCCGAAGAAATCCCTCTTGACCACGGTGGTATCCTTTGCCTGGGCGGCGGTAGGCCCGAGATTCTCCTTGTTGACCAGGACTGGTGCCTCGGGGGCGTCGTTTGCGCCGCCGCCTGACTTGAAGCGGGCTTGGCGAGCCTGGGCGTCGCGGAGGGCGATCGTGCGTTGGAGCTCCTGGTCAAGGGCCTGCCGGACGGCAAAACGCACTGGCGCCTGTGAGGATAGGAGTGAAGCTGCCGTCTCAAAGGTGGAGAGAGCGTCGAGGTCGCTGTAGAAGAAGCAACAAGTTAGTTACAGATAATTTGGACGAACAAGAAAAAGGGGCTGGGTGTCACTTACGGTTCTAAGCGATAGACCCATTGGGGGGCACGGTTCGATATATCTTCGCTCTCTATCTTGCCCTTTTGCAGCAGGATTCCGACCTCGGCCAGAACTTGTGCTGCCCGTTGTACCATGGCCTTTTCGCTCTCCTTTCGGACGCTTGCTATTGAGCCCTGGCTACCACCGACCACAACGGGCTTTACATCAGGAGAAACCATTCGGATTAGGTATGGGAGGAATTCGGAGGACACTTCCTCTGCACTGCGGAAGGACCGCGACATTGTAGGGCTCAGCTGAGCGAGGATGGACTGAAGCTGAGAGCGGTTCAGCTTTTCTGCTTCGTGAGCTTGGTAGTCGGCTCGCGGGCCAGTGAAGGGCAACGGCGCTGCCTCTGCTTCACCATCATCGGCACCCCAGCGCTTGTCGTAGCCCATGTTTTCGTAGTGCCGTTTCGGGGATGCGAATAAGTGATGGCATGCAAGCACTGGCAGTTTCAAGTATGGTGCCAGCTCCCACTCTTGGCTGGCATACAGCCTCGATTGGCACGTGTCATGGAAATGGAACCAATCGTATGCCTTGTTTGGCTTGGTGAGGTAACAGTCGTCGTTGAAGTCGCGATTAGGGTATTCCGCGAACACCTCTGTCAGGATATGGCTGATCTCACCACTGGTGTCGATCATCTGGCCCAGGCGCTCCATCGCATGCTTCTTTTGATGCTCTCCAAAGCCTAATTCTGCCTGGGGCTGTTCGTGCTGATGCTTTTTCTCCGCATCGAAGTCAAACGCGGGCTTAGGAAAACCGCCGCCTTCTTTGAACAACCGACTAACGATGTCCTTTGAACTGCCTCGTCCAAGACCTCGGGATCCAGCAGCGCCGCTGGTCAGATCGTGCATGATGTTGTGTTCAATCCACTGCTTTGTGAGCCGCTCATTCCCGTGGACATTGGCAGCCCGAAAACGCCCTGCTACCCATTCTCCGACAACCATGACACCTCGAAGGTCACCTTCAACAGTGCTCGCAGCGCCTTTCCTGGCATCAGCGCCAGTAGACATGCCCCATGCTGCCTCGCATAGTTTTCTCGCTGCGTCCTTGTCGCATGGAACAGCTTCCTTGTCAAACACGCTCTTGAGGCGGTTCACCACTGCGTCTAGGGATGGTCGGCCCACGTGAACAATTTCTGCCAAGTTCGACTGGCGAAGCGGCCGGAGCGAGGGGTGATATACATCATTGCAAATAAGAACCAGTGGGCGCATTAGTCGGAAGTCATCGCCCTTCTTCTTCCGCCCTTGGTTCGCATTTCTCCCCAAAGCCACCGAGGCACTATTCCTCTGGTCTGTCAACACCAAGTCGATCAGAGCCTTGACGAAACCTCCCTCACCAGAACCGCCAGACCCGGAAACCACACCGTCCACCTCATCTACTACCACGCACACTGGCTTGGCTGGCTTCTGCGACACATCCTCGCCTTTTCGATTGCTAACCGTCCTGACGGTCTCTGTGCCCAAACTCGTTCGTATGCGATTCTTTACCACGTCACGGCTTCGATCGTCACTGGCGTTTATCTCCATAACCTCGTAGCCAGCTTGTCGAGCACATGCATGTGCCAGAGTTGTTTTACCCAGACCGGGGGGCCCAGTGAGCATTAAGATCTTACGATGTGGTTTCTCCTCTTCCGGTTGCTGTTTCATTCCGGCCCGTCTTGCGGTAATCGGCTTGGCTTTGGCCGCCCCGGGGAAAACAACAGGATCCCACTTTTTGAGCCATCGTAGAACCAATCTGTTCGTGCTGTCGTCTCCGCAAAGGTCTTTGAAGTAGCGTGCGCGATACTTTTCGGTCCACAAAAGGGTCTTCTTGGGCTTTTCGCCGGTAACTGCTGGCGTTTCGACAGATGGTAATGGGCCCGTGTTCTTGGGGGCCCTTTTGTCCGCTCGACTTTCTGCAATTTCTTTCGAGGCGGCGCTGATTAATTCGTGGATATCGATACCGTAGTAGCTTCTTTTCGCTCGTCCCTCCTTGGTCCTGGACCTCGAGGCTACCATGGACTCGTATGAGGGGGCTGCCGACACCTTTCGCTCCTTAACCACGGTTCCTTTTCCGTTACATGTTGTGATGGTGTAGCTGGACGGCGTGAGAGTGTTCAGTAGCGACTTAGAGAAGAATGGCAGCCCGGTGGACCATGCTGGAGGCGGAGGTGGTATTATCGCAGGGGCTTCCGAAAGAGAATCTGCTTGCTCTTCCTCGGAGACGATCTCTTGGGCGTCCTGTGTTGGTGATTGGTGTTGGTCTGAAATTGGCGTGTTGTCATTACTATTCTCGGTCATCCGCTTTTTCGAAGGTGGTTCGGGGGTTTCTGTATCGTGTTCATCATTATCCGATTCATCGTCGTCTTCAATAAAAGGTCCCGTTGCCCGAGGCTTTGGCTTGGATTTTGGAGGCTCATAATCGTGGGGTTTGTCGCGTTTAGCAGCCGAAGCTCTGCTTTGCGAAAAATCCAACGGAGAGGAAAACGACAACATAATTGACCATTTCTAGCAGTTCAAGTAAAAAGAAGTACAGAACTGTTAAAAAGGTTCAATCACTTTGTTCGATGAGGTGCATTGGCTTGGTGATATGGAGAGGACCCAGCAATTGAATACTCCACGCCTTAAACGCGTCTCGAATCTTTAATTGAAGAAGACGCGTTTCGCGAGTATCTGTACCTGGGGCTATCACATGTAGCCGGTACTAGACTTGGCAGCTAAACTTCGCCTGTTGAATAGTAGACAGTACATTAAATGAGCGGGGAAAGGCAGCTTGTACTAGTACCAATCGCAAAGTACAATTCTAGCGCCATAGACTAGTAGCCAGTACTTTACAAACTTCTCGGTCAATGCCGGCATCGTTCCAACGTTTATCCGCCAACGAGTGCCAAAAATTTACTAACAAGCTCTCATCACCATATTGCATCAGATATTACTCGCGTGAACAACCAACCCAACATCCGACACATTGTGAGGTCAATTCGCCAAAATGAGAAAACCAAAGAGGTTCTACAGCTTGAATCGCCCTGTAAGCTATACCAATTGAGCCTCACGTCATATTGCCGAGCCGTGATCTCGTTGATATTTGATCTTCTGCTGACAGTGGTTGGACACAGAAAGTACGTCAGTCATGGAACAAGCACAATCTCTACAACTTGGCCCGTATGGTTGGCGACCAACCTCAAATGAACGGAATGAGGACTTTTTTCCAGCAGAAATGGGACGCGAAAGCTCGAACTAGAGGATACCACGGAGACCACATTCCCGAGAAGAAATGGATACGACTCTTTGACCGCCGCCTCCGGTCCGCTGTGGATATGCCACCGAAGTATCTTGCCTTAAACGACGGTTCAGAACAAGCTGCTGGTCGTGGTTCTGGTTTGACAACCAACCAAGTGTCTGCCGAGAATTTCTGGGCTACAGCTGAGGTTAGCACAACCTTTCCCGACAGAGTCAATCATCCCCGCATGAGATCCGCCTCGCGATTATCGAAGAACAGCCTTCTCGCCCAACCACTCAGTAATATGACTCCTTATATGCAAATGACGTTTGCTCCGCTGGAGAGAAGACTTGATACCGCCATCTTCCGAGCTCTGTTCGCCAGCAGTGTCAGGCAAGCGCGGCAATTTGTTATTCATGGTGCGGTTAAAGTCAACGGAAAGAAGGTATGCCACTACGTGCAGTGAAGCTATGGTTCTGAATGGTGCTAATTAGTTTTCCAGATGGTGCATCCTTCATATCAACTCAACCCAGGTGATATGTTTCAGGTCGACGTTGAGAAGGTTCTGTATGGCACTGGCCAGCAAAAGATACCACAAGAGTCTGTTCGCTTCAAAAGCCGACTCGAGAAAGCAGAAGAGCGAGAGGAAAAGGCTCAGGCTCAGCTGATCAAGGAGAACTCTGGAGAGGTTGAATCCGAATCGGCTGAGGGAAGCTCAGAGTCCCCCGAAGGTGCTAAGCCGGCGGCTCTGTCGGAAGAGGATCAGTTGGTTTTGAGGGAACAACTTTTGGAGTCTCTTCTCGTTGATGTGAAGATGGTTCTCAGAGACAAGACTCGAATGAAACTTTCAGCAAAGGACAAGTCTAGGCTTCGGGTTTTCCGCAAATCTGCTGCCAAGTTCTTGTCTCGTCCCGAGGGTTCAGAAATCGATGCCGACGAGCTTATTGAGGAGCTTCAGTCGCAGATGAAGTCACTTAATATGTACTCGCATGGCAAAGAGAGGGGCGAGGCAAGTGAGGATGCCGACCAAGTCCGGGAGCCCAATGAGCAACAAAAACAAAGAATCAACCGCGCCCTAGACATTGAGGGGCTTGACGACAAGCAAAAGGAAACGGCCATCAAAATTATTGGCTACGACCATTTGAAGAAGAGCGAACTGCGCAACTTAGCCGACCTGCTCAAACAAGAAGCCGAGAACCCAATCGACGAGTCTAAGCCATACGCAACCCCCTGGCGGCCTCGCCCTTTCATGTCAGCGTTTGCATTCATTCCCCGCTATCTGGAGGTCAACCCCAACATTTGCGCGGCTGTCTACCTCCGCCATCCTGTTGCAAGGAAGGGTCTTGGTGAGGTTCCCACACCGTTCCCATATTTCACGAGCCAGCTTGCTCACAATTGGTATCTGGGTCGTGGGTGATTTGGGGGCACGGGCTATTAGTTAGCAACTTCAAGTTGTCTAACTGTGTAATATGTTGACTGTTGGATAGCTGGGGATATATGTGTGTATATTAAATGATACATTGTACGATTTTCTAGACCTTGCCCTGAACGTCATGATCCCAAAAGCTCTTATGCAATGTTAGCTTGAAACGTCGAAAAAATATTACCTCTCTAGCTGCTCTGGTTGATAGATTGCCTGACTAATATAATTGAAGTAAAAGCTGATGGCGACAACAAGGTTTGCAGTTGCGCTACTGACGTTAAAGAGGCTGCCGGGCGCTATCTACCCTGTAGATACAGACTCAGTAGCTCCCAATTCCGCATCCACCAACCACAGCCCTCTTTGGAATGATTAACAAGCAACTTCGGTTCCTCCATATGCGCGCAACCTATCAACGAACATCTATCTAGACGTTGCTCTGGGATGGGGCTAACATTACGGCGTCAAGCTACTTAGAATAAGAGAATGAGTGGTTCAGTGGCGCCAGTGCTACGTTCCCTTAGTACCGACGGTACCTCTAGCTCAGGTTAACGACGGCATCTCACTCACGTTGTAGCCAGAAAATTCTGCGCATGATAAGACGACAGGCACCGCCAGCCATGTCTGATCCTTCTCAGAGCGCCGAGGCCCCAGCAAAGAAACAGGCTAGACGGCGACCTGGAGCTTCCAGCCCCAAGAGAAGATGTGTGAGCACCGCATGCATCGCGTGTCGGAAGCGCAAGTCCAAGTGCGATGGCGTCCTCCCCAGTTGTGCCGCCTGCTCCAGCGTGTATGGCACAGAGTGCATTTATGACCCTAATTCTGATCACCGCCGGAGAGGCGTGTATAAAGACAAGGTAACCAGCGGGAAGCCTCAGATTTCAGCATTCCAGGTGATTATCGATGCGCTCAGACAGGGCACCGAGAGCCAAGCCATCGAGATAGTCAGAAGGCTCCGGGCAAGCGATAACCTGGATGAGCTGGCCGATAAGATAACCCGGAATGAGATGCACGACAGCGATGCCGAGGAAGACGGAGGAGATGAAGGTGACGACACAAACCATCTGGTCGAATATTCAGATGATGAGGCTGGAGCTCAGCTGGCGGTCGAGGGCGAAAGGGACCTGGCCCGGAAAATGGGTGAGCTGAGACTTGAGAATGGCTCCGTACGGTTCATCGGCGGGACATCTCATCTCATCTACATGGGAGATTCCTATAGCAACCCGGCGGATGAGCCCAGTTCTGACAGTTACGCGCCGGGAACCAATCCCATTACTACTTGGACTCGAGTCACTGATGACCCTGTACTGATCGCACACCTCATCAATAAGTACTTTTGCTATCACTACCCCTACTTCACAACTCTTTCAAAGAAGATGTTTGAGAGAGACTATCACAAAGGACGAGCCGGGATCGACCCCAAATCAACTGTGTATTGCTCTTCTTTGTTGGTGAACGCCATGCTGGCACTCGGCTGCCACTTCAGCGATATCTCCGGCGCGTATGGGATTGCAGGAGATAGCCGCACAAAAGGCAATCACTTTTTCGCAGAGGCGAAGCGCTTGATTGTAGAGAACGACGAATACGAGAAACCGCGACTAGTCACAGTCCAGGCCCTTGCCCTCATGTCAGTGCGCGAGGCAGGTTGCGGAAGGGAGGCCAAGGGATGGGTGTACAGCGGGATGAGTTTCCGCATGGCGCAAGATATTGGCCTCAACCTGGAGATGGGAGGGCTCGAAAAGGAGGCAATGAATGAGTATGAGATCGATGCACGCCGCGTTACCTTTTGGGGATGTTACCTCTTTGACAAATGCTGGTCAAACTATCTTGGCCGACTGCCTCAACTCTCGAACGAATCATGCAACGTGCCCACGCTCGACGTCTTTCCGGATGAGGAGGTCGAACTCTGGTGCCCGTTTCCAGACAGCGGATTCGAGCCGTCCCTGGCGCAGCCGTCCAGAACACGGGCGGCAGCAGTTTACCTGTTTAAGCTCTGTGAAATCAGCAATGACTTGCTCGTGTTCTTCTACCACCCTAATCACATTGGGAGATCGAGTGAGAAAGGTGTTGAATTGAAGAAATTGAGCGAGTTGCATAGACGGCTCGAACAATGGCGAAGGGATCTTCCCACAGAATTCGAGCCCAAGGAACGGCAGCTACCCAATGTCATCCTCACGCAGTAGGTTTCAATGACGCCTCAGTTTATTTTGAAAGACTCAAGAGAGCTAACAAATCCGAAAGCATGTTTTTTAATCTCCAATTCATCCACCTATTTCGACCTTTCCTCAAATACTCCCCTTCAAATTCCCCCTTACCCTCCCACGTATCTCCGAGACGGATTTGCACAGCGAACGCGGGTGCTATTTCTAAGCTCATGCGCCTCTACAAGAGATCCTGGGGCCTCCGCCAAATCTGTAATATTGCAGTCTACATGATTCACAGTGCTTGCATCATCCATCTCCTCAATCTCCCAGAGAAGAACGCGAAGCGCGATATCACCCACGGCATCAAGCACCTTGAAGAAATGGCAGAGGACTGGCTCTGTGCCAGAAGAACACTGTCTATCCTCAGTGTCTTGGCGAGGAAATGGAAATGCGAGCTCCCGGAGGATGCGGCATTTGCCCTCCAACGAGCAGACGAAACCTATGGATATTTCAACCCATCAGATGTGCCGTCTCCCATGTCTCACCGCACCCTCTCACCGCCCTCAGCGGGTGAGGATTTTCTACCCCAGAATGAGACCGGATCCCGCCATCAACCTACCTCAGCCCAAAGTGCTGGCCAACCCTCAACCAGCACCAATCAGTCGTTCAACACGGCGAGAGGCCTATTCGCTGGAAACGCCCAGGAAGGCTATTCCAGTGCAGAGCCCGCCAGCCTCCTAGCTCAGCAGCAACAAACCCCGGAAGTGTCTATGCCTGGTTTCACCAGCTCGTTCAGTCCAGGACCGGCGTCGAAATTCAGCGCTGGGATGACTCCGAACCCAGCGAACCTGAGACAGGCACCTCTTTCCGGGGCCGGCATGGAAAACCCAGATTGGTTCTTCAACGACGGCGTGCGTTGGCAGCAGAGCTTTGAATCATGGGAAATGGGCAATCGGAGCTCGGCCACACCAAATTTCGTGGCTGCTCCTTATGTTTTCGGTGACGACACTTTAGATATGACGGACGAGGGTGGCCGAGGGTTGCCACAGCAATCGGGGGCTGGAGAGAATCTGACCGGATTCGAAGGGTTTGACGCAACACTGAATCAAGATGAATGGCTCTCTAATTTGGAGTAAAGTCCTCCCAGTGCGCCCAGACATTGGCGAGTCTTTTGGTCTAGACACTTGTATCCATTCCAGGCGCACACTACGTATATATATATATTGAATTCACCCGTATATATCGAAAGCTACACAGTCATATCTTTGATTTATCCAGTCGATCTCTCATAAAATATAGATTCTGGAATAGTGCACATTGCACTTCATCTATACACAAGCACGTCATCCGATTTTCACCATTCCTTGCAACTTGCATTGATGCCACAGGTCGGCAGGTGCACGGGACTTTTCGTTCGCTGCTACGCTTCCTGGTAGGGTTCTCACCCGGGGCTTATTCGTTCTGCTTCATATGACTGGAGTTGCCGCAAAGAGGCGAATACGGGGTGGTAGGCTTAATGGAGTTGAAGTGGCTGGTCCCACGAATGCTCCGGTCCTTCTAAAGCTTCTTTCGCTCTGGTACCGAGATGCGACGGAAGAGCTTACCCACTGTCGGTCGGCCCTAGAAACCTGGGATTAGGATCTGGTAAGACTTGTTGAATACAGCGCTGAATGGCGTAGCACTACGTCGGTACCCTGCTCTGGATCTGCAACAAGACACACATCTTCAAGAGTGATCAACATCAGCACCCCGCATCCTCACCGTCGCTCTCTTGCTTGGCGCTCGGCTGCAGTTGTGACTGGCCATCACCGCCCTCCATGCTAATATATTTGTTAGCATGAGCAGTAGAGGAGAGGTGAGCCCATAAATGCAGGACGGGCCATACGATTGAGCCTTTCTGGGTGGTTCCGAAGCCAGGGTTCAATTTCACATTGAGTAGCGGCTGTGACAACGACAATCTCCGATTTCGCGGCCCAAGTCCCGAAACGCCGAGGGGTAGCGGAGGGAGACGAGGATCGGTTGCAAGCATTTCGAAAAGGGCCAGAAACCACTTAATGGGCTTTGGATTGGGCAATGGGTATACCTTGGTTTGGTGTGCTCCTCAAACGCGGGCCGGTGTGATGCGAACAGTGACTTGTTAGCAGCGAGGGCGCATGGATGTATCTGGCCACATGCTCAGTAAGGGTGTGCTGGGCATTCCGACGAGGGGGAAGTTTGGGGAAATTGCAATCTGGGGCACACCCCCTCCCACACTCCTCTAGGTTCGCCCGTCTTGTGCGACGAGATGTGATTGGAACATATGGTGGCTTCAACAACCCTCCATCCTGACGAAATCGGCCCGCAGACCGTTGCTTCGCCTTAGTTTGCCCGCGTCTGAATGTAGGTACCTACGTCTGGGCATATGTATAAGAATGCCGATATACATGTGGCAAGGTGTATATTGGAAGTGATGAGGTATACAAGCCGGGTCCATGCTGCTACTGTCAGTCCGCCCCTGTCGGCCTTGTCCAGCCAAGCCGAGTCTAGGTCGGGAGGGATCGAAGCCCATCGGTTACGGGAAGCCATGAATATGACCTTACCATGCTTGTGCCACGGAGACATGTGCCCCTCCGGATCTCTGGGGGAAGCGATCAACGGCATCTGAACTGAGCTCCGGTAGTACAGGCTGGCGCTTCCTAGTGCTGGCAACCCGGTCACCGCGTGATGACGACGTAGTTGCAATAAGCATCTTCCAACGACATAATGGAGACGGGCATGGCTCGTTAGGGCCTCCGATATCAACTTGGATAGTGCCGCGGTTACCTCCGCAAGATAGGTCACGATTGGGATCCTGGGTACGTAGCTCCTCGGTCGGTTCTGAGGAGCACCACGGCCGAATAGTTGGGACTTGAGGAGGCCACAGCCGATGGGCCAAGGGGATGTGTTTGCTGCTGCTACGTTAAACTCGTGATGGTGTGCTGGGCAGCGCTGCCTTTGGTTGGCACGGATCAGAGTGCAGGTACTAGCTAGCAGGTCGGTGGGTATTCATGCAGGAGCAACTGGCATGACCTGCCTCCCTCACCTACAGCAGCTCGCGCCTCTTGCAGCTAGCATGAACGAGCACGGCCAGAAACCGACCCAGATCCTTTGGATGACATCTTGACCGAGGGACGATTTCCACTCGGGAAGGTCATCCACCGTTTAGGTACGCGGCTGGTGCCCTCCCTGATGCTCCCCCCAATCGGTCGACAGCCTCCATTGAGCAGCAGCCTCGCGGGCGGTGGCCACTTAGCCCCGGGGTCCTAACTAGCCCTATACGCTATCCCCTGGTCCGCTGGAGTTGCCTTTTTGCGGAGGCTGGTAGCGAGATGAAGCCTAGGTACCTGGGAGATGGAGAACCTTGGTACGGTTTGCCCGCCTGGGACCTGGAGGCAGCCACGCAGCGCCGTCCCGTCTGCCAGCGAGGTAGTATACCGCTGTGACGAGAAAATGGTGCGTGGGCAGTCCCAAAAGGCGGTATGTGGAGTCTGGTTCGGCCCCCGGGTCGTGACTGCTTGCCCAGCTGCTCCAGCTCCTCCTCCTGCTGCTGCTGCACCCCACCAAGAGTCTCACTCTCCTCCTCCTCCCAAGTCCATGTCTGCATGCATGAAAGCACATCCATCCCCTGGTTGGTTAGGTTCCATCAAGGCCGGCACCTCTCAGCGTTACCTGCTTGTCTGGTGCGCTAGCTCGGCCGGTCCAGACGTCAACCACCCCCTCGTCGAGCCCTCGCCCCATCCTCTGCCTCCGTCAATTGTACCGAGCGACGGGGAAGGATGGAAATTGAGTCAAGCTGTGCCCTCGCGCATGCTTCTCCACCTCCACCTCCCCACATGGTTCATGGGTCCAGCGGCCTGTCTCTGGCCAATACCAGCGGGTCGCCTCGGACCTCTTCACTGGCAATGTCCTGACTCCCCGCTTCCAAGCCTGTTGGTGCCATTATGGAGGTATGCCGAGCGCCAGGGTCTCTTTCATGCCAGCATATTCGCTCTTCCTTGGCTGTGAGTCTAGGCTACTTTCGGGAACTTCTGGAGGTCACAAGAGACGGGACCGTCAACGCAGACAGAAGGACGTGGAGATGTGGAGTTGGGTGACCTTCTCGCCCGCATCATCGTCACTCAGAAGAAAAAAAAGAGGTTAACCCACACGGCCCCCCGCCCTCCTCCAGCAAAGCTACTTGTTCTTGGCTTGGATTCGGGTGTTGCCTGCTCGGCCTTGGAAAATCCATACCCTACGCGGGCAAATTGAAGACGATATCTCGTATGCGATCGATCAGTAGACGTTCTCTCCCAAGCCACCCAATAGCCTTCCTACATTGTATGCGCATGCGCACGAATTCCAAGCTATCCTCCACACACTTCGCACTTCTTCGCCAAGCCCCTTGTTTTGATTTGGTTCACGACCTCGAAAGCGTTTCCAGACCTTGTCCCCGACTGCGTAGTAGTTTTCGACACGCCAGCCCGAGCGCAACACGACGAAGAGGCCGAAAGTCGACCTGGAATTTTCCGTATTGCATTGATCGTCGAGTTGCGAATCGTTAGGCCCGCGAGATACGCGCCCTGTTGAGTGAAGCTGTGAGTCTACGATTTCGAAGCTCTCTGTCAAGTTTTGCAGCGCAACTACGGGTTGGTCAGGTTGCGCAAAGGTGCGCCTGGTGTGGAGTAATATGACCAGCTATATCAGCTGTCTACTTACGTCTGTTTGTTTTATTCCTGGATCTTCTCGACCTTCCAATTGATGTTATGGTGGGCGTCTTTTCTGGCCGCTCTCAACAATCCCTGTTTTCTACAATCTACAAATTACCGCATTATTCGTTGCTCACGTCGCGTTCCTTGACTCTGTTTCACTCTCGAGCATTGAAACCAGCGCCATTAGCTAACCCTAAATGTTTGGTAGTTCTGACGTTGGGCCATGGTAGGATAGACTTGGAGGGCTACATAACGATTCTATGTGCCGGGAGGAATTGCGCATAAGCTGCGCCTGCTGATACGATTTCTCGAGATGCGCACTGCTTGGCATGCGACCAGTTAGTTGACGGTCTTCTTGACACCATTTTCCTCTTCTCAGAATAATCATTCGGAAACGGACCCATTCGCGGTTTCAATTGGATGTCCAACCTTCAAAATGTTGTCGAATCCTCTTCATCGATACTCTCCCTATCAAAACCTCAACCAGTCCCCCGTCGGCCCTAACGGGCAAACTCAACCGTCATCCCTAACACACAATGGCCTCGATCCACTCGGCCAGGCCACGCAATACAATCTTCAACTTCAGCAGCATGCCGCAATGCAGGATCCTCAACTGGCTAGAGTAGCACCACAGCCCAAACAGCGGCAACCGAGCTTTGGTTCTAGTGGGCGGGGTACCTCTGGGCAGGTCAGGCGAAGGATCAGTCGTGCCTGTGATCAATGCAATCAGCTAAGGACAAAATGTGATGGTCAACATCCTTGCGCCCATTGTCTTGGTGAGTAAAGTTAGCTTTCTCTTTCCGGAGGGTGGAACGGGTAACTGACTTGATAGAATTTGGGCTTGGTTGCGAATATGCTCGAGAAAGGAAGAAACGCGGGAAAGCGTCTCGACGAGATCTGGCGGCCCAGGCCGCAGCTCGTGCTGCGGCAGACTCAACTAACGGGCAGAGACGAGGCTCGAACAGTGGTGGCGATGGGTCTATGGAATCAGAAGTGCAGCCGAGCGTGGACTCAGTTTCGAAACGCACCGAAAACCAAAATCACGAGCTCAACCAGCATGAAGTGGATAACTCCGTGGATCAATTTGAAGAATCCGCCATGGCCGCAGCGTCTGCGACTGGAGTCGAAGATTCAATTCGCGTCGATGATCATGGTTTAGAAAACGGCCATGTGGACAACGCACAGGCGATAGATATGAATGGATTCGCAAACATGCCACATGGTTTTGAAAGGCAAGATATCGGCGCGCAGCTTATGGAAAACCGCCCGTACGAAACCCATCAAGGCCATCCTCTTGCAGGTTATCAAGAATTACCTTTTCCTATGCAAGATCAGAGCCCTCCGAATTTCCAAACGAATGGAGGATTTCGGATAGGGAACAGTCCCCTTGGAGGTTATGCGATGGGTGCAGGGGCGCCATCTCCCGGCTGGGGTTTACCTTTCTCGTCACCACCAGCGGCTGCGTTTGGCGGTGGTCGGGTTCACCAAGGTAGTTTCGATTCCGCCCACCAGAATGGCCCAAGCATGCGGTATCCGGTTCTTGAACCATTACTTCCACATCTCGGAAACATATTGCCGATTTCGCTAGCGTGCGATTTGATCGATCTGTACTTTGCTTCGTCCTCGTCGGCGAAAATGCACCCAATGTCACCATATGTGTTGGGCTTCGTCTTCCGCAAGCGTGCTTTCTTACACCCGACCCGGCCACGGCGGTGTCAACCTGCGCTATTAGCCAGTATGCTATGGGTTGCTGCTCAGACGAGCGATGCTTCTTTCTTGACTAGCATGCCTTCCGCCCGAAGCAAGACGTGTCAAAAGCTTTTGGAGCTCACGGTTGGCTTACTAAACCCTTTGATACACGTATCTGCAGGCCAGCCTTCTCCAGGAACACATCCTGGTACCCAAGGGGCCGTGTCCCTAGGTGGGCTCGGTGTCGCACTGCCCGGTTCCATCAGTATGAGTGCTTTGACCGGCGAGTCTGGTGCATTTGGTGCTGCGGGTAGCCTGGACGATGTTATTACTTATATTCACTTAGCTACCGTCGTTTCTGCTAGTGAATATAAGGGCGCTAGTCTGAGGTGGTGGAACGCAGCATGGTCTCTTGCTCGAGAGTTGAAGCTTGGTCGTGAACTACCCCCGAGCGCAATGCCCCTGAATACTGACCAGGGAGATCTTGAGACGGATGGCTTGGATGAGCACGACCTTCATCGAAATAACTCGAATTTTGTCACTGAAGAAGAACGGGAAGAGCGAAGACGCATATGGTGGCTTGTCTATATCGTTGACAGACATTTAGCTCTCTGCTACAATCGCCCTCTATTCCTACTTGACATCGAATGCGAAGGGCTCCTGCAGCCACTAGACGATTCGGAATGGCAGAGGGGCGACTTCGGCAGCTCATGTAACGGCAAGATCGATCCCAATGTCCTCAATCCGATACCCGAAGGGTCAACTGCAGACTTGATCCGGCCACGTGGGCCAGGATTCGACTGCCGAGGGCATGGAATATTTGGCTATTTCTTGCCGCTTATGACCATTCTCGGCGAAATTGTTGATTTGCATCATGCGAGGAATCACCCTCGTTTCGGAGTCGGGTTTCGATCTAACGGCGAGTGGGACGAGCAAACGGCCGAAATTGCGCGTCACCTGGAGATGTATGAACAAACCCTGAAAGTGTTTGAGCAGCACAATCTGCCTAAATCTTGCGATGAGAAGGGCGATTCTGGCCTTGGTCATCACGAGGATATGGCTGGTGCGAGTGTAGAAGCATCAACCCCCTCTGTCAAATCAGTACATACAAGCTCGTCTGGCCGGATGACGGAGAGTGATATTCAAACTCGTATCGTCATTGCATATGGCACACACGTGATGCATGTTTTGCACATTCTACTTGCTGGAAAATGGGACCCTATTAACCTGATCGACGATGAAGATCTCTGGATATCTTCACAAGGCTTCATCACGGCCACTAGTCATGCCGTATCAGCGGCTGATGCTATCAGCCATATATTGGAGTTCGACCCTGGCCTGGAGTTCATGCCTTTCTTCTTCGGCATCTATTTGCTCCAAGGCTCTTTCCTTCTTCTCTTGATAGCAGACAAGTTACAACTTGATGCGTCGCCAAGCGTTGTCAGAGCTTGTGAGACCATTGTCCGGGCACACGAAGCTTGCGTTGTAACCTTAAGCACCGAGTACCAGGTAATTACGATCTTGGCCACTGCATTATCTATACTGTTTGAATTATAGGCACTAACTCGGAGCAGCGAAACTTTAGCAAAGTAATGCGGAGCGCCTTAGCCCAAGTACGAGGTCGCGTACCGGAGGATCTCAACGAACAAAATCAAAGGCGGCGGGAATTGCTGGCATTATACCGATGGACTGGGGATGGCACTGGACTGGCTCTGTAATTGAAGAGAAGAAAAAACGACAGTGATTCAAATGTTGGGGTGGCGTATTGGTTTGCGATCAGAAAGCATGGAGTTTGGACCTGGAGTTGCTCTTTTTTATTGTTGCTCTTCGTCATGTCAAGACAGCGCCCCGAGTTTAAGCTTGGGGCACAGGAAATGGTCAAATTCAAAAGCACGTTGAGTATCTATACAGTATAGGCCTGGCTCTTTTACCCAGGGTTCTTCGTTTGGACTTCCCTTCGGCCAACATTGAGGTTCGACTACTTCCTCTACGTTGTGGAGGGGGAAAGCGACATTGTTTTTTCTCTAGGTGTAACAACCCGTGTTACTTGCTTGGTTAATTGCATTTCTAATACAACAGCCGTCAAACACGTGCTCCTTGGATTCCGGACGTGTGTTGAGGTGGGACGAGATTGTTGATGACGCAGCGGAGAGAGGATGCGCAATGGCTTGCACAGACTCCCAAGGTATATGGATATTGTGCTATCTGTCAGCTTGGGCAGACTATTTGCGAAAAATTGGTTGATCCGAGGGCACAGAACTCCGCCTACTTCATCTTTTGCTGGATGTGGTTTGTGAAGCTTGGAAATATCTATTGGCCTACCGCCTTGCTTCCTCTCAAGGCTGGATGTGACTTTGCTGGAAATCGGTCCACGAGAGATAGCAGCGGTCTGCTCTCGTTCACTTTATCAAGTCACGTTGCGCCGAAGTGTTGACACAATACACGCAACAATAGGGACAATAGACAATAGCAACAATCGGTTGGCCACGAGAGCTTGTCTGCCTGGAGAACCCACCTGCATTCATGACCCGAGGAAGAATCAGACCGAAGTCCAGATGATTATTTGTCAAATGATTCACAGCTGCATTGAAAGAAGTATAACTCTATTGTTGTGCTGCATAATTGATACATTGGTCTTTGGATATCGAACACCAACTAACTCAAGAACAGTTGCTCGAAGTCAGAAAGCTGTTCTTCACCAGCAGCTTCACATCACGGAGAAATTCCATCACACAAGGAGAGTTTCGCTAGCTGATTCATGCCATATTCCAGCTGCTTGATACGCCCTCTGTATCCCTCGACTGTACGTGGTCCGGTTGTGATTCAAGACCGGAATATCGAGTGTGAGTCGGAGCAGCCCAGTGGCTGATTCGCACTGGTTGAGTGAGACTCCAGCAGTGGCTGTCCAACGGCTCAGGCGGTTACTCACTCAGGAACCGTACGTTTTAGGTAATTGCCTCCCCAGTAAACCTTTCAACTCTTCCTCGTGGCATTTCCCGTGGCCTTCCCTACCGGGTGTCATCACAGCGTGTCTGTCGAGTCCTCTCGGCACACGTCTGAATCACTCATAGAGTTGCCATTTAAGTCATCGAGCTACCCAAGCAACCAAGGGTCCGGGTAGCCTTTGTCATGGTTGCGACTTGTTCCCCGAATTGAGTGCCGGAAGCCAATAGCAAGACAACTGTTACCCCTTCATGTTGGATCGCGAGCATCATTACTATCATTACTATTACTATTTACCAACCCCCCAATCAAGTATCACTAACAGGAAGATGAATCCAGGTCCCTGGTATCGAATACACCGATTATCGTTTGAAGCAACGGATTGAGAGTCGTCAACAACCGAGCCTCCCCATAACCACATCACCCACTCATCCACCCGCTGGCACTTATACATACCTTACAATGATGGCGTTTGTTCCTAAACAAGGCCAGAAGAGAAATGTCCCGTTGACGGCAGTACCCGATGAATTACAGGGCAAACGGATCAAGACAGGAAGCGATTTGAGCAGAGACGTCCCGACAACCCTTTTGAAGCTACCAATCCCCGTCACTCCAATCCAGCCGCCCCATACACTGTCACTCCCTCTCACCCAGACGGCGATTGTTCCCTCCGACGATCCGGTGGGACTCCCCGCCTCGATCTGCTCGCCGTACAGCCAATCCTACCACCGGCCAAAGGGGAAGATCCCGCTCACGCAGATGGCACGCTGCGGGCTCCGGATCGGCCCCATCGCCTTCGAGGACGCCAAGATCTTCCTCCCGCCGGGCCTGGGCGCCCAGGACCAGCGCGAGATCAAGGACCGCTGGCAGAGGGAGCTCAAGCTCCAGGAGGACAACCCGCCGGCCCTTCCCCCCTCGCGGGTGGCCGCACTGCCCGCCAAGGCGACGGCGGGCGAGTACGTCGAGGTGCCCGAGGGCGCGAGCGAGAAGGACAAGGAAAGGATCAGGCAGTATAACAACAAGATCGCCTCGGAGAGCCAGCGGATCGACAGGGAGAGGAACAACCAAGCGGCCAAGAAGAGCCGCGAGACCCGGCTCGAGGCGCTGCACAACACCCGGCAGATCCTCAACAAGAAGTCGGCCGAGTGCGCGTGGCTGCGGCTCAAGCTCATCTCGATGGGCGGCGACCCGACCGAGTGGGAGGCCATGGACGAGTTCATGAGGACGCGCATGGTCGAGAAGGTCGCGGAGCGCGTCACGGCGAGCGACCAGCGGCTCGCCGAGGAGAAGAAGAAGGAGGAGCAGAGGAGGAGGGCGGAGAGGACCAAGGCGAGGCTCGAGGCGAAGGAGAACGCCGCCAACGCGAAGGCGTGGATACCGCAGCTGGCGGCGCCGCAGGCGAATACCCCCTGGGGCTGAAGGTTTGCCTCCTCATCTCCTTGACAGTATTCCTGCCTGGGTCTTATTCTGGAAGTATCTTTTATCGATCATCCTTAGGTTTGGGGGACGTTTGATGCCGGAGCGGGTGCCAGGTTTCTTGCCCGCGCACTCTGATCAATCCTCTCCTCTCTTTCCAAATCCGGCCGTTTTTGATAGTTTGTTTCCGTTTATCCAAACATTTGATTATTTGTCTGTCACAATCACAAAGCTCTTTCTTCTTGGTCTCTCTACGGGAGGTTTTTCTCGGTCAAAACCAGTCAAAGGGAGGGGTCTCACACGGGAAGGAGTTTTGGTATCTGAGTTTCTTCAACAGGTCTCGTCAATCTGAGGGTCTAGTTTTTGTTTTTTTCACTTCCCTTTCGCCAATCTGGCATGGAGCAAAAGGGGAGGCACGTTCTGAGGAGTATCATGATTAGGGAGGGACAACGTTTGTCACAGGATTTATTGTTTGTTGCTGGGCTTTGCTGTGATGGCCCTTTTTACCCTTCTGGGAAGCCAGGAGTTCAACTCTCAAGTAGTTGACCAATTTACGAATTACATCATGCAGTTGTCACGGGATCCTACATGAAAGGTGTAGTATGTGTGTGTGTGTGTGTAGATTGATTTCATTCATCTGCCATGAGCTCATGAGTGCTTGCTTGCGTGCTGATGCGTCTTTCCGTAACCGCAATGAAAAACAGCCATCCATCTATGAAAATCCGTACTCCAAACCTGCTGAAATGAGCCATCTATATCCGCGGATTGCCCTGCCAAACACCCCTGATTACTTATTTGGTCTGACGGCCACTTCCCCGTCGTGAATGCACCAGCCGTCCCTTGACCCAGACCTTCTTGGTGTTGCGATCGTCTCCGCCGTACAGCCACTTGGCCATCGTCTCCTCCCAGTCCTCCCAGCTAAACAGGTCAACATTGCCATCCTCACTCTCAGTCTCACCGTCCTCTCCCTCCCCTGGCCCGACGGTCCGCATCCCAATCAGCTGCGCGTCCCAATGTTTCCCCTCCTCAAACCCCCCAATCTTGTCCTCCAGCCCAACGCAGATGGCCCCTCCCCTCGTAGCCAGGTACAGCACCTCGTCCACCGTCAACTTGTGCCTGTCGCCGCTCTCCTCGCCCATGGCCACGTGCCGGCTCACCAGCGCAGCCTGCCTCGCCGCCTCGAGCACCGACGAGCTGTACCCGCCGCTCATGTCCGTCCCGAGCCCGACCTCGATGCCCCTCCCCCACAGCCACCGCACCCTCGCCGCGCCGCTCGTCAGCGAGCTGTTGCTGCACGCGCAGTGCGAGACCTTGGCCCCGCGCGCCGCCACGACATCCGCCTCGGCCTTGGTCAGGTGCACCGCGTGCGCCAGGATGGTGCGCGGCGTCAGCAGCCCGTGCCGGTCGTACACGTCCGCGTACGACGTCGAGTCGGGGAACATGCTGGCCACCAGGTCGATCTCCCCCTTATTCTCCGAGACGTGGGTCTGGACGGGGAGGTCGTGCTTGCGCTGGAGGGCTGAGAGGTGGTGCATGGCCTCGCTGGTGCACGAGGGCGCGAAGCGCGGGGTCACGATGGGCGAGACGATGTCGTATCCCGGGTCGGCGTTCTTGATGTGCTGGATTGTCTGCTCGGTGAGCTCGGCGGATGCCTTGGCCGACTCGTCCCGGTAGTAGTCTGGGCATAGGTCGGGGTTGTCCATGGCGACGCGGCCGACGAAGGCACGCTGTCCCATCTTGAGACACAGGTCTGCCAGCAGGTTTGTTGCGGCAACGTCTGTCGTGGCGTAGTAGGCGGCTGTTGTGGTTCCATGGGCTAGTGTCCGGCGAACGCAGGCCGAGTAGACTCTCCGAGCCTTGTTGAGGTCCTTGAGGCTCGACTCGAGCGGGAAGGTGTACTTCTCCAGCCAGTCGAGGAGGGTAGTCTTGCCAAAGATGCCGACGTTGGGGTACTGGGAGGCATGAACATGTGTATCTGGGATTGTCTGATTAGCGCAACGAAACCAATTTATAATATATATATTTCGGCGTCGCACTCACCAATGAGTCCAGGGAAGAAGAACTGGCCCTCTGTAGAGACGTGCCGGTCGACTGAGGCCGCGTCCCAGCCGAGATCCTTGAGCGTTTCTTCCACAGTATCGCTTCCGCTCTTCTGAATCTTGGCAATGACACCATGCTCATCGACATAAACAGCAGTGTCATGCATGTACTCGAGCTCGGCGCGGCTCTTGCTGTGTACAAATGTGCCCAAGAAGACCTGCCGATTCGCAGCGTCCAGGATCTGCGAAGGGGACATCTTGGTCACTTTACTCTTTTCTCGTTTGTCAAGAGGCAGATATGCAGATCATTCACTAAACAGAGTAGATAAAATTTCATGCAAAACCAAATCCTTGCTTGCGAGGTTTCGGTTGAAGTGTTTTAAAAAGATGCGAGTGTGTTGGATGAGTGAGAGGAGGAGGTTGGCCTAGAGGCTCAACTGGCAGGTCCAATTAGCACTGTTTGCTCACTGCTCTTCAGTGCACGTCCACCAACAACCAACTAAAAGTCAGCAAGTCTAGCAGGCTCTCGGGATCTGCAGGCTGTTTCCCGCAGTGTCTAAAGCGCCCGTTCTTCGAGATGCAATGGAGAGAACGAGGGGAAAGAGGCAAAGTGTTCCGAAGGCTCGGGCAGAGGAATATGTCTTATATACATGCATCCATATGCAATCTAATCTTGCATTCGTATCGTGGGAGGGTCATCATCCCCCACGCCGCCCGAATCTGCTCTGGTGATTGGCCTGCGCTGATCTGTTGGAGGCGGGGATCGCCGCCAGCCGATCCGATCTTGCAGAGTGACTGATTAGGAGAACAGGACGGGGTTAATCGACTAGATACCCAGGCCATTCAGATCTGATGCGGCTGGACATAGACCATGGCAGTGAAGCAGGGCTGCGTACGCTTACATTTATTCGAACTCGAATACACGAGCATCATCACCGGCAGGTTGGCGCAACACGACCAAAGTTCACGTACTGTATCTCTATTTGCGTTACATAGCACGCCGCTCTACGGAAAATATTAAAAAGGTGACAAGGGAATCTACATAATCTGCGTTAAACCGACAAGCCATTCCCATATCCGTGATATCTCTTCTTGCGTCGCCCATTCACTAAATGATTGATTGAATGGAAGCCCTGACCAGACATAACAAGGCCTCCATCCTCTCTAATATATATTTCATGACCGCACTTCCTCATTTTCTATCCCCCTCCTTGCTTGCCTTTTTGTTTTCTTTTTACTTTTTTTTCTCTTTCGGTGCCTGCTTAAGCAGCAGCGCCAGGGCCCTCGTAGTGGCCACTGGAGCCGCTCTCACTGTCGCCAGTACCATTAACCTCCTCCTGGGCGTACTTGTCCCAGTTGGCCAGGACGTTGGCAATCTTGGGCGAGTTGGTCAGCTTGTAGACATCTTCAAAGTACTCCTTGGTCAGTGCAAATGGCTTGGCAGTGACGTTAGGGATGTACTTTCCAACAAGCTTGGATGGGTCGATGGTAGTCTTGTTGATCTTCTTCATCAAGAAGGATCGGAAAGGCTTGACACCAGATCGCAAGAAAGTCGAGTGGAAGGGGACGTCAATGCCACGGAGAGGGATGGTAGCAAATCCACGCTCCAGTTCCAGAGGCGTAGGCTTCTTGAGCGTCGCCTCGGCACATCCGCGGATGATCTCTCGGAGGGCACCCTTGGCCTCTTCGATGTTGCTTCTCATCTCCTCGATGTCAATCTGCTGCTTCTTGAGGAAGTTGGTCACACCAGCCAGTGTGTCCAGGGCCCTCAGGTCACCAGCACACACGTACTGCATGTTGACAATATTGTAGTTGACAATCTCAAGGAGCCAGCCAGTCTCGTCTGCAATGTTGTCGACGACAAACTGCAGTGCCTCTTCAGTGAACGTCTTTGAGATGCGGCTAGGGTTGACAGCACACATCGAGTAGTTGGAGCGGCCAGCAGCATCACGCTCCACAGCGACTTGCATGGTCAATCCACGGTAGAACACAACCGACACCAAACTCTCAATAGGCATGACCTCGGCCAAAGCCGCGAGGGCAGAGTACTCTCCCAAAGAGTGACCAGCGAAAGTGCTATCTCTGGGGACAAGGCCCTTCGATTTCATATCCTCGAAACTGGCCTTCTCCATCAGGGTAAGAGCTGGTTGCGTGAACTGAGTAGCGGACAGCAGACCAGTTGGTGATCGGTATGTGTAGGAAGTAGTGCTCTCATCGATTTCCTTGAAAATTTTCTCGGACTTGACAGAGCCATCAGCAGCGACAGTTTCGAAAGTCATCGCCATGTAGTTCTGTCGGATAGCTTTGCCCCGAGGACCACCAAAGTGAATAGTCAACTCCTTGGGGTTGTTCTTCACAATGTTGGTAATAGAGAAGCCTAGTGATGCAAAATTAGCGATCTACTCAACATCTCAAGCACTTTGTTATTGGCAGTCAACTTACCATAGTTGTCCATGAGGTAGGTATCGGCACGATCCCAAACTTCCTTGGCCACAGGGCTGCTGGCATAGAGCTCCATGCCCATACCCTGCTCCTGAGAACCCTGACCGGTGAACACGTAAGCAGTCACAGGCTGTTCAACCTCAGCTTCACCAAGGAGAACCTTCTCCTCTGTCTCCTTGTTGCTGGCCTCAACCTTGATGATCTTTCGGCCTGAAACCATTCCGGTGTGCTGGAGCTTGACCTGGATATCGTCGTTGGGAAGAACCATGCCCACCAAAGAGGCGTGGAAGCTTCGCACACGACCAATATTGTTCTCCGCAGCCCAAGTTTCAACAAGGCTGCGGACCGCAGCGCTCGAGTACATGCCGTGGGTAATGGTACCAGGCAGGTCAGCGTAGCTCGAGAAGACACGAGAGACGTGGATGGGGTTGTAGTCTCCCGAGACACGGGCATAAATCTCGTTCGAGGTAGGAGCACGCAGTTGCAGAGGAGTCTTGCCACTAAGGGGAATGGGGTTCTCGAAGTTGATAGGTTGATCAAGCGTAGAACCATTGCGGGTCAGGTAATCAATGACTGGGTTGCCGTGGGACTCGCCAGCCTCATAATCAACACTGGCGACCTGGATGACCTCCTTGGTGGGAAGCTCAAGGAGAACCTGGCCACGAGTCTCAACACTGCTGAAGACAGTCTTGTTCTTGAATCGGACCAAGCTCTGCAAGCGGAAGGTCAATGTCTGACCGAGAAGTTCAATCTCGGTAGGGATTTCATCTGCGTTGAACCACTGCTTTGACTTCAGGACAGCAACGTCACGAGATGTCGCGAGATGAATTTGCATGGGAGTCTCGGTCTTGCGTTGGAAGGTGTTTTCATAGTCGGTGTAGGCGCCTCTGTACAAGAATTGAGAGGTGACTTCCATGACAGGCGACCCATCACGTGAAAGGGTACCGCAGACCTCAACCATCTTACCAGATTCCTGGTTGATGATGGCATTGATCTGTGCAGTGGTCGAAACCACATCACCCTTCTTGAGAGGCTCAGCACCGTGAAGCATACGGAACTCGTTGGAGAGATGGACAAGCTTGAGAAGATCGCCATCAATTGTGCGAGGGAAGATGGGCTTGGTGATAGCCTTCCAGCCAATAACAATGGCGAAGTCCATAGGAGCGAAGACGGTCTTGCCAGGTCGGTCGACGAAAGCCTCACCAGTGTTGCCGACAGCATGGACGAAGTCGTTGATGGCCTCGGTGGTGATGGTAGTCTTGCCACCGTCGAACTGGCTGGTGACAAGGGCATCCAGGTCGAGCTCATCATTGCCGAACCAAGCTCGCCAGTAGAACTCCTTGATGCGATCATTTCGGCCTTCCATGACCTCGTGAATCGGAGCATAACCAGCCTCGGGCAAGTACTTGAACTTGAGGGGAAGAGATGCTGGCTCACCAAGGGCCGTGGTATCCTTGATCAAATTGACAGTGATCTCGTTAGAGCCAGTGAGCTTGACTTCAATGACATCGGTGTACTGGTTGTGTCTAGGCTGCTCCTTGACGACGATAGTAGTCTTGGCAGGATCGTTGGGATACTGGATCTCGACGAACAAACCCCTTGAGGGAGCGAAAATACGTCGCAAGGGATTAGTTTGGAACTTCTTGCCCTGGACAACGACTTCAGACATGATCATGGCATGTCTCCAGTTACGGTTAGGGCCAGCAAGGAGAGCAAGCCACTGGTCGGTTTGAGGGATGGTAGCATTGACCGAGTTGGAAATGCGGTAAGTGTTCTTGTGTGTGTCGTAGCTGACAGTCAAGCTTTCAATGTCCAGGGGGATCTCTGATTCCACAAGCTTACCACCGAAGTACTCGACAACGGGGATGGCGTTGGCATCACCCTTATAGATATCCTTCGTCAATGCATCAATGTGAGCATTGTGAATTCCATCCAAGATCTCCTTGATTGGTTGATCGAGGACCGTGGAGAACTTTGCCGCAGTAGGTCCCTGGAGGATACATGTGCGGCCAACGTCCTGGCCGATAACAGCATCGAGGTCCTCGGACTGCCAAAGAGAATCCTTCTTGAAGAAAAATTCGAAGTTCTCATCCAGAGCAGGAATGAAAGTGACGGGCTTCTGCGTGGGCCTCAAGCAGAGCAGGAGGAAATGCTGAACATCTTGAGCGTTGACAACCTGAGTCTCCGCCTCAGAGTAGTGGGACAGAATCCGGTCAACTGTCTCAAAAGGCGTGTCCAGGTCAGCATAGTTCTGCAGCAGCGAGGGCTGGCCGGTAGAGCTGGTAAATCGCTCCTCCACACGGTGGATGAAGTCGGCAGTCAGTCGAACAAAAGATGAATCGATCCAACGAGATTGGTGCTTAACATAAAGCAAGTCAACGAGGCGGCGAACGATCTCAGCGTATGTCATATCCTCAAGATCAACGGCCTTGCCGCTCTTGTTGCATCCAAACCAAACCTTCTGGAAATCGTCATTGAGCTTCTTAATGATGTAGTCACGGTTCTTCTTGAGCTCGGGAATACGCTTCTCCTTGGGCAAGCTGAAGATCTTCTGGTCCATCTCAGCCCAGAAACGAACTCCGCGGGTAGCAAGCTTGTGGATTGGCTCGCCCATTTCGGAACGAACGGTGATGACACCACCAGCAGGGCCCTTGTATGTCTGCTCCCACTGGCCATCGTCCAGACCAGGAGCATCCACGATGGCCTGCTTTGCGTCCTTGCTAGTATGAGCTTCTTTGGCGACCATCATGCGGCTACCAAACAGGCATCCATCGAAGGGCATGGGAGGGTAACCGTACTTCTTAGACCACTGACC